TTAAAGTTCAAACAATATTTGGAGAGTTCAATTAGCATGGTCAATTTTGCTTTCAAATTAAAATAGTGACAGCATTGTGAATCTATTTCTGTAGGTTGTGTCTTAAAAGGTATTCAGATTTTTAAATCTGCTTGGAAAAGAACTCTATCATTAGCTACACAAACCTTCTTTTAAAAAAAACCCCAAACCCCTTAAAGTTCCTTTTCCCCTAATTGTCCACTTTCCTTCATTGTCTAGAAATGGTGATTCTGCCCTCGGCTAGAGTTTACCTTGAGGTGTAACATAGCAATGTATTTTACCCACCAAATTCATATTATGCCGTTTCTGCTTAGATAGGAGGCTAGATAATAACAATTAAAGTGGCATACTTTGGGGGCGACAAAAAAACCTTTCAGCAAAGTTTAAGATAGGCCCCTGAGCCCTGGCTTGTCCACAGCTGCCCCTGGAGGAAAATGGAGTGGCAGTAATTCACAGGAACATCTGTGGGCGGGCGACACTTTGTGACCTCACTCAGGATGGCTGCAACCCTAAGAATAACAGAGGTGCTGCTGCCGTTTAAAGAAAGTTCCATGGGCGTCAGTAGAAAAGTATTCAGTTAGCAGTTCTTCGTGTAAGTCATATTCATAGCAACAACACTTCTGTTTCAGTTCCCTCTAATGTTCCACATTCTTAAAACCCACTGCCACCCAGTTGATGCCACCTCGTCACTACCCCAGGGACAGGGTCGGACAGCTCCGTCGGGTTTCTGCAAGGGCATCTTTAGGGAAGCAGTCTCTATCTTCCTCCCACAGAGCAGTTGATGGGTTTGAATCATTGACCACGTCGTTCCTAGCCCAGTGCTTAACCTGCTAGACCCACAGAGCACTTTGGAGATCCCCAAATGAGATCTACTTCCCAGTCCCCAGTGTCTAGGGATTTCTCAGTAAATGAAGTGAACGTGGATTTGTTTGTGTTTATTTACTAATCTCTCCCGGACAGGTTTACATTTTTTCACCACATTAAAGATTCTGCGCCTCCATATGCTGACTTCTGTCTCCCCCTCTGTAGCCCTGTCCTCCAGGGTCAAAGGCTGTTTTCAAAATTATGATTCCTGATAGACAGTAAGCTAGGGAAGCAGGGGCTTGCGTGTGATTGTTTATTAATATGTTGCAGTAGTTTCATGTGCTCACATGACTGTTCACAATAGATTAGCAAGTAAGCACGAAATAGCACATGCTTACCTAGATTATTGGGTAATCCATCTCTACCAGATTTCCTCTCCCATTTCAACATGGGCAGAAACTTTGTTTATAAAAGGTTTTCAGCAACATCAAAGATTACAATCCTTTTTTGGTTTAGAAAATAACACGTTAGTAGCATGGTTCTTGACTGTTTAGAGCAAACCCAGGAAGAAGCCAGGAAAGGACTAACGTTTTGCCAGGATTTGATCATGGTGCAGAATTAAGTGTTTAGCACCCTATGCAGCTTGGCTGTGGGGAGGCATCTGCCCTTCTGAAGCGGTGTGGCTGTGGTGCTGCTGTGGGTGATTGACACCCGCCGAGACGATGCTTTGGAAAAGGAAAATTTAGCATGAATGCTAGGAAATTGCTCACTACTTCGTTGAATCTGGGAAGTGGTGCAAGTGTTTAGGGTTGCCTCTGAGCTACTATTATTTGTGTAAAACCAGCTAGAGCACGTGTTTATATAAGGGCTGATTTTCCTATCGGTAGCTAAACTGGTTTATCTTCAAAGGCATTTTTTCAGCATCTTTCAGCGTCTAAGAATTTTCAGCAGCAGCAAGAGGCATGCTGTTCCTTTCCTGTCGTTCTTTAAAGGCCCTCTCCCTCCTACCCTTCTTTCCCCCAGACCTGTCTCATTCCTTTTTAGGCTTTCCTGCCTATTTTCATTCATTTCAAGACAGTCGTCTGGTGACTGTAATGACTTTTATGCCTCTGTTTTGTGACTTAGCAGTTCTAAACCATATCTATCTACTTCCCATTATGAAAAATAAGGAAATTAATGCAATTTCCCTCATTTAAACCTCTTCTCTTCCCACGCTGTATTTTCAGTATTGCTTAATATATTGTTGTTTTTACGTTGCTATGGTTTTGCGATATTTTCCTTCTGTGAAGTAGAATGAAAACTTGTCTTCTTGGTTGATAACAACTGGAAACATAAATGATGAGGACACATGGTCTTATGCTGTATAGACAGTTTTCATGGTAACCCCATTATAGACCAAAACATTATAGACCAAAACAAAGATTAAACTTTCCAACAGAAAGAGAATATTTCAGCTGTTACTCTCTAATGGGTCCACAGATTCATATTGAATTACTGCTTTTTTTTGTATTCATGGCACCCTCTTCTTGAATTCCTGTTTGTCCATTTTTGGAGTCAGTTTTTCCTAGGTGAATCAGGGATGTGTTTTTGAGTCTCTCCATGCGCTAGAGTGCCTTTATTCTGGAATCACAGTCAGATGGACACAGACTTCTAATTTTAAAGTACTTTACCCCTCGAACTTTAACGATAGTCCACCGTCTTCCAGCATCCAGTGCTAATGACAGAAAGGCAGCTGTCATCCTGATTTCTGAAAGGAAACATTTTCTCTCAGGACCTGCTTGTGATTCTCTCTTTGTGGTTGGCATTTAAGTTTTTACAAGAATACAGCAAAAATATGTGTATCTTGTTTCACACAAAGTGGGCCTTTTAATCTGGAGTTTACATCTTTCTTCAGATGAAGGAAATTTTTTTTCCTTTCTATTCTTCATGATTTTTTTTCTTTCATGTCTCTGCTAGTCCATTCTGGAATTTATTTCTGTTGGATAATCTCTGCACTTTCTTTTCTAATTTAATCTTTTATATTCTTGATGATTCTTTGACTTTTTCTTTCTTTCTTCCAGATCCACAATTTTATCTTTGATTCTTTCTCTTCTCTCTTTATTCAGCCAAGTTTTAAGTCTTTATTTTTGCAATGATATTTGAATTTCTAAGAATTATTTTCTGATATTCTTATTTCCCCAATACAGTATCAGCTACATTCTCTGAGAACAATACTTACAATAATTTCAGCATTTAAAAAATTTCCTTGAGCCTTCGGTGGTTTTCTCGGGGTGAGTTATTCTTAATATTTCTTAGTTTCCCTGTGATTCTTGATAGTGTGGTCATAATTAGGAAGATGTATGTAATGACTGTCTTGGGCAGTAGGCATGGGTTTCTTTTGCATTTCTGAGAATCCATTTCTCCACCAGAATTCTGTAAAGAATAGTACAAACACTGGGTTCTGGGTAAGGAGCTGAACAAATGCAGGCCTTTCTATAAGGGGGTGGTGTGGTGTGTGTGTGTGTAATACGGAGCACTTGGCTCAGGGACTGGACCTTTCATATGTTCTTGGTCTTTGCTGGCGCTGCCTTTCCTCTTTGCCCATGCCACCTCTATCTGATGAGGAGCTGTGAAACTTACCCAAACTTTGCTCAGATTCTCTGCCAAGTCCTGACACCTTTATTTGGCATTCTCTTCAGGCAGGTATTCCACTCTCTTAGAAGAACATTTCTCTCACTTTATCCTCTGGGGAGAAACAGTGCTGCCAACTACTCTACTTTGCTGGTCAGACAGGGGCGGGCTCTAACTCCCAGCTATCCAGATGCTAGGCTTTAATGTGTTGCGCAGGTGATTCCCAAAATCCTACTGCCACTCAGTACTGGGAAGATCTTTTCTGACTCTAATATCTTCTGCGGCAGTTTCTTCTGTTCCTTCGTTGATGGGCTAATCCCATCTTCATCCTTTCTGGCAAAAACACCTCAACATTCCTATCTGGTTATGACAGGCATTCTTGTTTCCAGTCTGTTAAAATATAAATTTCTAGGGAAAAAGGTTTGTTATGTGTGGCATAACTTAAGTATGTTATTTTTAAGACTTTGTGTTTTTCATTTCTATTTCAGATTTTTACCACAGGCCATTTCACAGGTGCATGTCACACAAAAACACACATGCACACCACTACTTAAATTAATGAATAGAGAGACAGGATTTTATCATGTGCTTTCAGTCTGTCTTTTAATTTTCTTTGGCAACTGGGCAGGTATTAATATCCATGGTTGTTACACAATATGCTTCCAGATGTATATGCTGTATCAAGTGTGTTTAAAGGACTAATCATCAAGAGATCAAATACGTTCTTGAATGTGTAGTGAACCATTTTACTAATTGGTATAAAAACTGACATATTTTCAGGCATAATGATTTTGAATTTATATAAAACAATATCATGGCAGAATGTGAACATGTGATGTTTCTCTTTTAATTGTTCATTTTTACAGTTGTTTTAGTAATGTGATTCTTAGTCATTTAGTCTTGATATGTTAGACATTCCACAATAGACGACTTTCAGCATACAATGCTCTCTTCTTTATAGTTCAGGAGGGTAGAAGTCTATTTCAGAACAATAAGACTAAGGAAACTCTCCCGTTCGGGGGCGGGGGGCTGTCACCCTTCAAATTCCGTGGGCCCAGCCTTCCTTAGAGGTCTCTGTGTCGTGGTAGTGGTATTCCCTCGATTCTCAGTGCAGGGACCCTGGTTTCCAAGAACATGTTCTACTCTGTGCTTTTCTTTCACTGTGGTCAGTAAAACGAGACTCCCTGCCCTCAAGTTGCATCTGACAGCTAGCTGCTCTACAGGGCAGGATAGCATTGCCTCTGTGGGTTTCTTGACTGTCACTCATTATGGGAGTAAGTAGAGAGTTGCATCTTTCTCCTATGGAGTAGATGGTGGTTTTGACAGGCTGATCATGTGGGTTCGCACCTACCTCGTAACTATGCCACCAGGGCTGCTTCTGTAATCCCCTTACAGAGTTGGGTAATCATCTGAGATCAGAGGATGATTACATCAACACATTACTGCGAAGTCACTGAGAATCACGGCCCAGACTAGTTGACTTATACTTTTGAGGAACACGATTCAATCTATGATATTGGGTAAGAAATCAAATGAAAGGGAAATTACTCTGGATCTTTCTTTTTCAGCCAAGAACCGTGGAATTGCCATTCCAGTGGATTTGGACAGCCAAGTCAATACTCTCTTCATGAAGAGCCATTCCAACATGGTACAACGAGCAGCGATGGGCTGGAGGTTATCTGCTCGCTGTGGCCCACGCTTTAAAGAGGCTCTCGGAGGGCCTGCCTGGGATTATAGGAATATAATTGAGAAGCTACAGGTATGACGAGACAAGGAAAAACATTAATATTTTCTGAAGGTTATATTGCAAAATATATAATCATACACACACAAAAAGTGGTTGAAAAATGTAAAATGCTAATTGGGGTACAAGCATCACTCTCCCAACTACCTTTACCTTAATTTAATAGCATAGCTTCCAGGTAGGTGTTTTATTTTCTTTTAAAAATTATTTTGCATTATATAATATTTTCAGATTATATGATAGTGTAGCTTAACATTAAAATGATAGTTTGTATATCAATAAAAATTTAGTAAAATATTTTGTCACTAAAGTTTGTATAATGAGTGAAATATTTATGAATTTGCTTCAACTTTCCTTTATGTAGTATCCTATCCTTTTCTTTAGACACAGTATTTCAAGCACTATTACTCCCAAACCACTTGCGTAGTACTCCACCCATGCTTTTGAACTCTGCCTTCTGGTACATTGTGTACTATTCAGAGAAAAGAAGTGTGTAATTGGGAGAATATCTTCTGGATGAAAGGGAGGGCATTTTTGTCCTAGAGAGTAGTCAAGAATAAACTGAGGAAATATGAAATATTGCTAGGGGTCACATGCAGATTAATTGGCTGAGGTTCAGAATTTTAATAGAAGAGCGTTGTGATACATTCATATTAATGAGAGAAATTAGGTCCAGATAGGATAGGAAAGTTGAATCATTAAACATTTGGTGGGGACGTGAAAAGATGAGTAATTAGTTTTTTGTTTGTAGAATAGGATTATCAGAGAGAGACTAGGGAAGGGCATATTAGTTAGAACTTACTAAAGACATCAGTCTGGGAGATAGTGGTATGAATGAAATATTGCAGACAATAATGAATGCAGCGTCAATAGACATGGTGGCTCTTGGATGGAAATAGAGGGACTTGAAGGGTGTTTAACGTACTCTGATGATGGGAGACAAAATTATATTATTAAGACTACTCTGGGGGGTAGGGGTGGGGTTGGGGGGAGGGGAAAAAAGACTACTCTCAGAAGAAAGCAAAAGACTATTGTCGGAGGAAGGAAGAGCAGGCAATGATATAGTATGATTGTGATCATTGAACGTATGCTAAATCAGGTTGGCATATTGACATCCAGCTATCTTATAGACAGACTGCTGAATATGTTGGAACTTAAGTCTATATTTGGGAGTAATATTTAAAATGAGGACAAAGGATGGTATTGGTACAAGAGTTAGTATAACAGGGAACAAAAAACACCTGTGAGAGGTCAGGAATGGACAACGGTCCAAACGGGAGAGTAGAGAAGTAGGATCAGAAAGGAGAGGATTTGAGTTTTGAGCATCAAGGGAGTAGAACGTTTCAGTAAGGATTAGTTCATGGTGGTTTCAATCAGCCCAGAAAAAGTATACCTTAGACTTCTCTGCCCACACTGTTGGCAGCCCACTCATTAAACAGATACTTATCTAGGGAATGCTCCATGGCATCCTGTATCGCTGAAGATAGAGTCCAGGGCAAGACAGACAGTCTGTGCTTTCATGGAACTTACATGTTAATAGCATATTACATACAAGAGATGGTGATGGAGAGTAAAATCTGCTGTGTCGGTAAAATAAAGCAGAGTAGCATAGTGAAGAATTGCTGGGTATCGATCCTATAGTGAGAGCCATTAAAGATGAGGTGTTACTTGAGCTGAGACTTGAATCATGAAATTAAATCATTTAGACAAAGCTCTTAAGACAGTGAGTTTGAGGGAGAGGAACCAGTAATTGCAAAGGTTTTGGATGGGAAGTAAGTCAGTGGATTTGAGGAACCAAGAGAAGCCAAGGAGCGGTGGAGTTTAGTAAGCAAAGTGGGAGACTATTATGAGATAGGTAGGCATACCATATCATATGCATGATAGGCATATGGATTTTATTCTACATATGATACTAAAGCTTTGCAGATTTTAAGCAATGGTCCATGCTGGAGACCAATCCAAAACTTATTATCAGTGAGTTGATTCTGACATATAACTCAGGTAAAACGTGGTGGTGTCTTGCCTAAGGAGTAAGATCAAGAAAGTAGGTGAATTTCAGCTATTTGTGTTATTTGAATGTAGAGCCAACAGGACATGGTGGTTGTATGAGTTATGGGTTATGGAAAGAAAACACATGGGTGACTCTGGGTTTGATCTGACGATATCAGTTGCGAACGTAGGAAAGAATGTGGGAGAAAGATTTGAGGGAAAGTTGGAAGTTAGGCTTCTCTTTGGAAAAGTTTGAGTTCAGATTTCAGAAATCCAAAAGGATGTGGCAACTAGTTCATTGGATATTTGAGCCTAGAAATTTTTGAGAAGATGTCAAGTTGAAGATATAAATTTGGAAGTTTCCAGCATTTAAAACAAAATCACTTCCATTAAGTCGAATATGACTCACAGCAACATAAAACAGCAGAACTGCTTTTGTGGCTTTTTGAGATGTAAAATCTCCTGAGACTGGAAATTATTGCAGGAGCAGGCAGCCTAGTCTTTTCCTCTGGGCGAAACGGGTGGATTCAGACTGCTGACCTTGTGGTTTGCAGCACCAGGTTTATTGAGGCCTTGATTAAGTTAATGCTATAGAATTGAATGGGTGCCCTCAGACCGGAAGAAGACTAAGAACTACCAGGAGTTGGTGAAGAATGGTTAGGACATAGGTGGAAAAGACAGAAAAAATGTGTTGTTACAAAAGTGAAGATCTGAAAGGTTTTCAAGATGAGACACAAAAGTGTACAATGCATAATAGTAGATGAATAAGGCAAAGATGAAAATGTATCCCCTGAATTTGTCATGAGGATGGTCATTGCAGCCAACAAGTATTCAATAATAAGGATTAATAACATTTATTAATAAGTAGCCAATATGTGTTAAGGACAGGTGTATGGATTTAAATGTAATCTCTATTAGCAAGCCCACATAATTTGTGTGCTATATGTGGTGGGAGCTAAGACCTAGAGAGATTGTTGCTCTGTGATTAAAATACGGCATGAAGGCAGGGTTTACGTTATAGGAACCAATCATAATTTGTTGAGTAAATGAAATGAAAACAAAAGGTTACGTGAACATTAAGTACAGCTTTTTTTTTCAAGCTACCACCAGTTGCTATTGAGTTGGTTTAGGATCATAGAAACTGCATGTGTGTCAGAGAAGATTTATGATCCATAACAGTTTTTAATAACTGATTTTTTGGAAAGAGATTTTTAGCATCTTACCTCTGAGATACTCTTTGGTATATTTGAACAGCCCACCTTTTGGGTTGGGATAATCAAGAGTGTTAATTGTTGGCATTTCCCAGAGGTTCTAGGCAGGGCCATTTTATTAAATATCACATTTGATAATCGCATCTTCCCATCTTTATGTCAGATCTAGCTTACCCTTTTGTGTTATTTTATTCCTGATAGTCTCTTTTAATTGTCATTAGAAATTTCTTAAAAAACTATTTTAGAGCAGTTGAAGTACAAATGACCACTTTGGCTAACAGAGAAATAAAGAGTTATATGTGAGTTAAGGCCTGAAATCCACCTATGAGAAATTATGAGAGGTGATATTCTCATCCTTATTGCTGTAGCTAAGAGAAACTTGTTAAAATCGATAAATAAATTGTTGATGTATGTGTTGTTTTCCTAGAATCACTATTTTAAAAGAAAAAAGGAGTATTTTAATCTTTCAGGGATGGTCAGTAAATTAGCATTGCCTAATTTTAGAAGCATATCAGTGAGGATGCTTTCAGTGATCATTAACAGTGTTCAACTAAAAGTGGCTTAAACAATAAGGAATATATCTCTCCAGATTGCAAAAGTGCTACAGTTGAGGTTCTTCCATCGTTCATTAATTCAGCCACGTAATGAGATAAGGACGCTAGTGCTCTTATTTGTTGACTTTCACGTGGATAGGCTGTCTCAAATTTTGGATCATATCTTCACGTTGCCTTGAAAGTAGTAAGTAGTTGTGAAAAATATTCGCTCTCGCTCTCGCTCACTCTCACTCTCACTCACCACCGTCACATAATCATGCCTGTAGGAATTGCTGTAGGGAAATAGAATGATCATGACTGGATTAAAGTCATCAGTCTCTACGTAAAAAGTTGAGAGGATTCACCATCCCTGACTCTGAAAATTTAATTATAAGAAACAGCATTGTGATTCTGTTAGCAAGGAAGCAGTAGAAAAAAGGTTATGGAGCAAGTGGACAATCTCAAAAAAGTATAGTTTGACATACTATTAAATTTAATTGATCTCTGTACAGTACTAACTGCTTCAAATAATTTATCAATGAATTCCACATGTGAAGAAATTGTTTTGAGTGACCAGTGGCACATATGAAATCTGTATTTTAACTGTCCCAATTTGTTTCCATTTGAAGAATACTGTCACGCATCCTTTGCCATCATAGGCACTGTAGAACCTCTACCAATGGCTTTACTGACCTTGCTTCTTTGTGGATAAACAAATATCTCTAGAAATCAAATTGCTAAACATTCCTCCTTAATTCATAGATGAAAGAACTGAGAAAGAGGAAATGTGTGTACCTAAAGTGACTATACTTACAGCCCAAGATTCAGTAACATGGGAGGGGAAGGGATGTCTTCTCTGAAATTCTCTTGTCTCTTTCCTGGTTCATTTTCTTAAGTTTGTCATTTCTCCAAAAGGCAAACTCGGACGGAAAGTCTTCTGCTCTGTTCCGTAGGATGTAGTGGCCTCCCTGGAGCAGCAGTTCAGCCCAATGATGCAGGCGGAGTTCTCCGTGTTGGTCGATGTGTTGTACAGTCCAGAGCTGCTGTTCCCCGAGGGAAGCGATGCCAGGATAAGATGCGGGGCCTTCATGTCCAAGTAAGTGGGGAGAACTTGAGATTTGGCCAGTGCCTCCCAACTGAGAGGCCTGCACCATTCTGGAGTTTTATTCTGTTGATGCATAATGACCATTTATAAAGGATATCAAATGTCGTAAATCCACTCTAAGAAGTAAAATTTAAGGTAATTAATTTGAGGGATTGTAAATTTTATTTTCACGAAGATCAAGTTATTGTATTTTACTAAAATGTACTGAAATTGAAGTGTGTCTTTTTGGGGTACAGGTATCATACAGAGTAATCTTTTTGTTCTCATGTCTTACTAAAATGATATGGTATGCTATTTTAAAAGATTCCTGCTTCTGTCATTGACTTTCATTAGTATCAAGAAAAAGGAAAGAAAGCTAACACGGATTGAGGTCTTTCTGTGTATGTTACTGTTTTGTGTGTTCACTCTGATTGTATGTAATCTGCCCACTCCCCTTGGGGGATGCAGGGGCAGCTCCACGGTGCGGATGAGAGGCTGCAGCCAGGTGTGCTGCAGGGAAAGAGCTATGGAGTCTCAGACTTAGGACCCAGTCTTTTAGTTACTGCTCTTTCATTTACTTAAGGTTTCTCTTTTAAACATATTTTTGTGTGCAGCTATCAGATCTGTTGGAGCTAATATATCTACCTTAGGATATATTTGTTTGAATGGGAAGTGACAAATGATCAAGGAAGATCTATAAGTATAAATAGCTTTGAGGAAAACCATCCCACCGTCTGATCTCTTCCACTCTCCCTTGTTCTCTGTCCTCTGCTTCATCTTTCCCGTGGGCATTTGTGCTTTTTCACATATCATGGAGGTCTTTTAGAACAGTGGTGGTCTGTTTATTATAAAACAAATCCAAGATCTTCAGTGTAATATTCCATTCTCTACTTGTCACGCCTAACTTGTACGTTCTTTTATTCTATGTGGCAATCGGTGTACTACGTTAAGTAAAAAAGCATTGCTACAAAAATAATAGAAACCTCTATTAAACACAACTGTAAAATGTGAGAGAAAAGAGATGGGGCTTTCTACTCCCAGAAACAGTCACAGGCTCAGAAATTCCTGGAACAGTTCCGCTCGGGCCACAGGGCCTCTATGAGTTGGCATCAATTCAGTGGTATTGCCTTTAAAAAAAAAAAATCAGGATGTGAAGGTATTGCTTCTTGATCTATCCTCCATCCAGATCGATGCACTTCTGAATGTGGCATTGCCCTCTCTAACTGTGCCTGAAGCATTCTGCACTCTTCTATTAACCCCGTGTCAGAATGGCAGTCTTCACAGCCTCAAGGGACTCGATTTGGGTTCCTTTCCTATGGATTCGGAGTTTGGGGAACAGAAAAGTCAGAAGGGGAAGATTAGGCCTGCAGGGTGGATTGGGTAATGCTTCCTAAGTCAGTCTCACAGGACATCCTTTGGTGCCCTCAAAGAATGAGCAGGTGCGTTGTCAGGATGGAAACAAATTCCTCAGTACACATTTTTGACTTTTTTCCTCATTGGTGCAAAAACATTTTTTTTTTCCTTAAAGCTTCGCTCTCAGAGGCCCCTGTATTTTCCCACGACCTTCAAGAAAATCTATCAAATCACCCCTTCAAAATCTTCAAAAACACTAATCATCTTCTTCAGAGGTCTGTCTTTACCAACTTCAGCTACTTAAAAGCAATCAGGCATACAATCAAGTTGTGTTTATGATTACTAGTGAGAGGAATAAGTGTACAAAAAGAAAGACGCAACCTACTGCCGTTGGGTTGAGTGTGACTCTTAGTGGCCCTTCCGGCGGAGGAGAACCACCTCTTGTTCTAAGACTTGAAGTTTTTATGAAAGCAGGCCACCTGATCTTTCACTCAGAAACTGGCGGGCTCAAACTGCTGACCTTGTGATTAGCAGCTCAGTGCACAGTCCACTACATCACCGGAGCTCCGCAAAGGAGGATGCCTAGTTAGAACAGATGGCGTTACTGATAAAAAAATGTCTCAGATAGCATGATAAGAGTTTTGTAAGATAAACAACTTATTCATTGAAAATCCCTTTACAAACAACAGAACTGGGAATACACACATGGAACATATCTAATGGAATATGCAGGAATCAATTATAGTACATTTGTGGAAAGAGATGATGGAGAAATTCAATATCAACTGTGAAACTAGGCCAGGGGCCAACTGTAGAACCAACTGTCAATTATTTGCATATAAGTTCCAGTTGAAATTGAAGAAAATGAAAACACATCTATCATAGTCACCCCATGAATAGACTTGATGCATTGAACCTAATGACCTAAGACCAAATGAGTTGTGGGATGATGTCAAGGACATAATATGAGGAGGGTTTAAAAAGTTCATGGAAAAATGGAATTTAAAGATAATGAAAATTTTCCACAAACTTTCTGAAGCCCCCTAAGAGGAACAGAAGAGAATATTAGAAGAGACTCTGAAACTTTCTCTTGAGCATTGAATATGAAAAGTTAATGGTAGAAATGATGAATTACCATAAATACTCGAGGATAAGCCGACCAGAATATCAGCCGAGGCACCTAATGTTACCACAAAAACTGCATTAAAAATGTGCTGAAAAACTCGACTTACACACAGGTATATACGGTAATAGAACTGAACAGTAGGTGTTCAAGGGCAGCTGGAGAACACAAAATCAACTATAATGAAATGTACTTTTCTAACCTGGAGTTAGAAAACGCCCTAAACCTCTGACAGATCCCTGTCAATGTACTGCTGCAAACATATCTGGACAATCTTCAGCAAAATTCTACCTTCACCTGATTGCAGCGATATAGTTCTAGAATGTGAGCATTCTGTTGGGTGACCTGTCATTGGAAGGGGTAAAAATATGGTTCTTTTCTGCTCAGTTGGCTAAGTACCTGTCTTCCAATTTCCTGACATAGATGAGCAAGTACTTCCAGTGCCTCATGAGCCTGTTGAAGCATTTCATTTAGTATTCCATTAATTCCTGAAGCCTTGTTTTTGGGCAATGCTCTCAGTGAGGCTTGAACTTCTTCCTTCTACACTATGGGTGCGTGTTTGCTCATATGCTGCCTCTTGAAATGGTAGAGTATTGAACGGGTCTTTTTGATACAGTGACTGTGTATTCTTTCCATTTGACTTCATTATTTCTTCTATTTGCTTTAGCTATTCTGTAATTAAAGAACAAATTTCAGAGTCTCTTCTGATATCCATTTTGATTTTTTTTTTCTTTTCCTTTTTTTGTTTTCTTCATGAATGATGTTCTTGATGTCTGCCCACGGCTCTTTAGGTCTTCTGTCATTAGCTGTGTGGATCTTAGCAAATTATGGTAATGTTACAAAGAATGGGAATTCTAGAACACTTCATTGTGCTCTTGTGAACCAAGAGACAGTTGTTTGAACAGAAGGAGGGGATACTACATTTTGTTAAACCTAAGAAGATGTGTCAGAGTTTATACTTTCATGGTAATGATACAGTGTGTAACTCACTACATTACCAGGGCTTCCAGAGTATGTGGAGCCCAGGTGGCGTGCTGGGTTACAAGTGGAACTGTTAACTGTAAGGTTAGTTATTTGAAATCACCGGCTGCTCTGTGGAAAACCCACAGGGGCAGCTCCACGCTGTCATATCGGGTTACTGTGAGTTGGAATTGACTCAATGGCAGTGAGTCTTGGTGTACAATGTGTATGCTGAATAAATAATCTGGGAAGCTGACTTATATCCAGAAGAACACAGCATCAAGATTGGAGAAAGACTCATTAATAACCCATGATTTCTAGATGATACAGCTTCTCTTCCTGAAAGTTTAGAGGAAATGAAGCATCTACTGATGAAGATCAAAGACGACAGCCATCAATATGGATTATATTTGAATGTCAAGAAAAATAGTAATCCTTCCAATGCACCAACAACCAAGAACACGATAAATGGAGAAAAGATTGAACTTGTGAAGAATTTGATCTTTCTTGGATCCACAATTAATGCCTATGGAAGCTGTAATTTAGAAATAAAATTACTGTATTGCATTGGCAATCCTGCTTCAAAAGACCTCTTTGAAGTGATAAAAAGCAAATACTGTATGTTACTTTGAGAACTCAGGTGCCTCCCAGCCCAGGCATAGTATTTTTAATTGTCTTCCTCATATGAATGCAAACAATGAACAAAGGAGGCTGAAGAATTGATTGATGCCTCTCAATTTTAGCATTGATGAAGCACACTGACTATAATATCAACTCCCAGTAGAACAAACAAATCTGTCTTCCTAGAAGTACAGGCAGATCATGCTTTAGAAGAGCGAGTGAGCAAGTGCTTGGAGCGTGTTATCAGGGAGGGCCAGTTCCCGGAGAAGCCAGCATGCCGGCAAAGCACAAGATTAGAAAGAAAAAGGAAGTGCCTCGATGCGACGACGGGTTTTCATTCCGTTAGTCACTGGGTGGCTCGGAGTCTGAACTAACTCAAGGGCGCCTGGGAAGGGCAACGGAATCTACAGGGTGTTTCTGTAGCTGCACCCCCAACCTCTTCTACGGGAACCCCAGTGCAAAGAGTTCACCAGTATATGCTTGATTAGAGTTATTGCTGAAATTACAGTAAAAATAATAACTGGATAAACTATAACAATCTTCCTTCTTTCTTTCGTCCTCTTTTCTTGTATTCACATATCCTGCCTGTTTCTATCAGTTCTAGCAGTGAAAATAGCATTTCATTATTAATCAAAATTAATCTATTATGCTAAATTTTCTGTGTTATATAATACTAAAGTCATTACTGCTGAGTCAGTTCTGACTAATATTGATCCTCTTACAATTATATAAGATAGTATTGTAGATATTATAGTACAATACATATAGAATAATATATTGCAACAATATAGTAAAATGTAACATAATGTAAACATCCATTTTTTTCTACTAGTAAACTACTTCTAGGTAATAAGATGACATTACAGATACTATTTCGGTATGTTTTTAAATATATAGTTTCACGAAGGGAATGCTACCAGAATTTCAAATTGAAATAATACTTGTAAAAATAAAGAGGATACTTAACTGCACAAAATTTATAAATTGAACTGTAATTTTTAACTTTGAAAACATGTCTGGCTTACTATTATTGAGATGATAGCATGATATTTTTTTTTCCAGGTAGTCCGTATATAGTTTCAAGAGAAATCACTGTTCTGTTTACAGTTCAATGTTTTGCTTTAAGGTTGATTAACCACACAAAGAAACTAATGGAGAAAGAAGAAAAGCTTTGTATTAAAATTCTTCAGACATTACGAGAAATGTTGGAGAAGAAAGACAGCTTTGTGGAAGAGGTACTTTTTAAAAGTTATTTCAACATTTGAAAATGAAGTCGGATTTTCAGAGTACTGTGCCCGTTTAATATAAGAGTGTGTGTTATATGATTACTTGTATTATATTACATGTACTTACATGACTTCGTTATTTAAGTTTTGGCCCCTTTCCTCTTTCATATCTTACTTTGAATGGAGAAGGAACTAAGATTAGACTGGCCTCAGTATCTGGCTTATTTGATTTATTATATTTCACATTAGATATGTATATTTTTCTCAGCCTCGATGCACCAAATCATCTTATTTAACGATGAAGCATTATTTATATTTTATATACATTTCTGCTGCATCTTAGGAATGGTCTGTGCTTTCAAATATATATTGATTTAAAAATATCAACTGTATGTTAATGGAGATTTTCTTGATTGTGACAATGTTATAATAAAATACCAATTTTCATAAATAGAATAGTAATTTCATATTGTTATCTATATTAGTTTAAGTATTATACACATGGTTTTCAGGGAAATACCGATTTATAGATAATAATTGTCAGTCTTATTAAAACTGACAGCTCAGGTGCTCATTAAGAGATAGCTAGCAGCATGTTTAATACCCAAGGTGCTATACTTAAATATAAAATATAAATCTAGGGAAGTTTTTTAGCTAGCTATCTATACTTTTATGTTAGGTATCAAATCAAATTTGTATCCTGCATTTTAATAAAGTTTGGGTTAGTTTATACAAGTACCAATCACCTGATAACTTTAAAGTGAAGAGGATTTTATTTTTTTTATTTATTTACATATGTGCTATTTAATTCCAAAAATATTACTGTAGCACGTTTAAAAAATACATTTCTTTAGAAAAGAAATGCAATGGAACCTGGATATTAATAGAAAGGGCAATGTTTCAGAATACTCCACATGAATCAATTATTAGCTTCAGTAATAAAAATGGCTTTTGCTTTGTGTTAGTTCTTATCTTCTAAACTATAGATTAAAAACAAACTGTGAACGTATAAGTCGTTAATGCAATTTGAGCAAAATATTCTCAGACAGAGGAGTCAATAAAAATAGTGTTGCATTTGACTATAGGTATGCTTTTTAAAAATAGCAAATCAGTTCCCTTGGGATTTGTTGCTGTTTTTTTCTGATTCCTTGAAATATTACTGCAGATTGTTTGGTTTTGACTGGAATGCTAGATCCTAAAATAGAAAAAAATAGGGTAAACATAATTTATTTGTACTGTTTTTATTATTAATTAGGTAAGGATTTATATTTAAGATCATCACCTTTGTAGTGAACAGGTTACCTTACTCAACACTCCCCCCCATAGAGTGAACATACATTTTTGACAGAAGGATGATGTTTATGATAACAATAACTTGTGCTTAATGTGAGATACTTAGAAAGTCATCTAATTTTGTGTATAATTATTGATTTATTCTAAAGGGAAATGGAAAAAAATCAAGAAAGCTTTTAATTTGACTAGTCCAGAATATTTTAATGTATTCCAAACTGTGTGGAAATAAATCATGCTGGCCTCGGTGGTGTTCTTCCGACTGCCACTGGAGCTATCTAGTTCAGATTGGCTTTATCTTCTGTCTGGACACGTTTTGTTGTCCAAGTAGTACCTGAGATCCAAAACATGAATGAAGTATCATTCATGTAAGACAGGATGTGAATGCCAGTTCCCTTCAGGAGATAACCTTCCGAGAAAAGTGAAGTCTCGGAAGGCTAATTGGTATGTTAATCATTCTGCCATCTTACACATTAAAATGCTGGCGTTGACCCTGGTACTGGATATATGTGGATGGAGAACTCTAGAAGGGCCCCTGACAAGCTATGGGGCTCCTGCAGTAGTCTTGGCGAGAGGCCGTTGGTGCCTTTCAGAAGGCTTCTGAGGCTTTGTACTACCTTGGTGTCCAGCCCTCCATAATATTCTCTCTTGGTATCTTTCCCATCCATCGCTTGTCATCCATGAGGCCTCTGAAATTCATGTTACTTACTTAATGCACCTCAGGTTTTTCCTTCATGAACCTTGCTCTCTCTGCAGTCACTTCCCTCACTAAGATCCAAACATCAACTTTGTAAAGGAGATAATCAGTAACATGTTTCAGTTGTCCAGGGTCATTGTGTTCTCAATAGAAGTTATAAAAACCCTCTCTCTCTGGCTCTCATGACACTTCAGGGTGTGTGTGGGCACTCAGTCCAAGCTCCTTGTTTTACAGGTTGTACCACTGAGACCCAGAGAGGTCATGTGACTTTCTTGAGGCCGCAAAGCTC